AATCAGCTTAACTGCAGGCTGCTTCCTATCGGTGCGGTTCCCTTTAAGCGATGCGAATCAGCCGATTCCGGCAGCCTGTCGGTCGATCCGCACCGCTGGGCCTCGTCCGCGCCAAAATAGTACTAACTACTTACGTGCCGAGTCGAAGGTTTGCTAAGTGATGTGGGTCGGTACGTGGTCGGACTGGAATAGATCGGACGGCCGCAATCCCGGTTATCGGTAAACGGCGTAATCGCGTTTCATATTCGGGGCGAGGAGTCACTGCTCATCACTCGGATCCGCGATTTTTCACTCCAGCACGATTCAATCTTCTGTGAGACTCGCCCCGTGTCCCACCCTGTGTCCCGCCCGGGCCGTGATTTCTCATTAGATCGCTAAGAAAAGTTACCCAGAGTCCTGGAGTTTCTCCGCGGAGATGAATAAGGGAAAGAGACAAAACGGGATCGGTCGGAGACGTTTTGTCGAGGACAGCGTGAAATACACATTCCGAGGAGTTGGCTCGCTCGACGTTTGCCGGGTGAAGCTGCGATCGGGAACTCGGAGGAGATCCATCGATCCCCCTTTTATTTTTCTTCTTTTCGTCATCTCGATTCGGCTGATGGCCGTGGTCCCGATAACGAAAAATTCTGTCCGGCGATATTGGCCCAGTCGCGGCGAACTTGGGAACTCGGCTCCCGCGAAAGAGAAGCGATCGGGAACTGACAACTACTTACGTTTCGGGCCAAAAGTTTCCCGTAAGTGATGTGGGCCGGCACGTGGTCAGGCTGGCTGGCTAAGCTCGCCTGGAACCACCTCTCCGCTTCCGCGTACTGTTGCAGCCGGGATAGAGTCTCGCCCAGCAGATTGTAAACGCTCTGCAAAACAAGGTCGATTCGTCAGGATTTTTACGGTTACTCGTGGATTTAGAGTTTTATGTTGGAGAGATTATTTTTAGGGGATCGCGTGGTACTGTGATGTTGGAGTAGAAGCTAGGAAAGTTGCTGCTTTAACGAATGAAAAAGTTTATTGATGATGTAAGATAAAGTAAAAAAGGCTATACAGTAATGATTACTCACGGTGTTCGCTTAGTAGTTGAGTTTTATAGATTGCTCTTTTTTAATACCCTTTTTCTCTCTCTCATCCTCTCATATTCTCAGTTCCACTGTCTTACCCTTTCACCTTCTACTAGTCCCTCACTTTCACTCTTTCACTCTCTTATTCTCTTACTCGCCCTCTCTCTTATTCTATTACTCTCTCACACTCTATTACTCTCTTATTCTCTCATTCCTCTATTCTCCTAATCTAACACTATTACTCTCTTACTCTCCCACTCTAACACTCTCTCATTTTGTCGACTATCCAGAACCCCACGAAAAATCTTAGTGGTAAAACCTGATCCACACGCTCTGCTGTCCACTCTGAGGCAAACAGTCTTCAAACTAAATTTTCACTCCGACTGAAAATCCTGTAATATTTTCTTTCTTTTTTTGGAGCGCAGAGAAGTGTTGCGAGCGTGTATCCCCGTTTGAATGTCGCTGTCTGAATTTCCTTAATTTATTCCGATGGAAACAGAGCTCGCTCTACTTTCCACCCTTTCTCCGTGACAGAAACGCGGATTAGTTTAGGAAGTTTGCGGCTGACTACCTCCGGCATTCCCTTGCAATGCGCATTCTCCGGTAAAATTGTAATTCGGTTTCCTTATACACCTTTCTACATTAACATCTTGACGCTGAGTTCCCTATCTCGAACTGACGTTCTGTTTTTTACAGCTTGTCAGTGCCAGTGAGAGATATACGGATCTACGGAACTGTTAATTTATATTTCAGCGAGTTGAAGTAAACAGCGGTACGATGGTATGGATCGCATATTTGATTCATCCGGAAATGCATTCGTATATGATTTTATAACGACGCATGATGGGTTTTGTTTTATTAATTCGTTGCATCAACGAGTGAAGATCTTGTATTTAATTAGTTACGGAAAATGTTTTAAACCTTATAAATCTTATGATGGTATTAAACGATAGGGAAAATTACATGAATAATTTTGCATGAATAAACATTTGAAATAACTTGTCAGTTAAATATAGCGTTTCGAAGGTATTGTGCTCTGATATAAACGTCCAATTCATTAACTGAACCGACACTTTAGAACTCGTCTGTCTCTTTAATGTTACTGGAGACCTTCATTAGATACCTTCATATAGTACCTTTGAAACGATGAAGCACATGGAAAATAAAGAGAAAGATTCATCAACGAACTTACCGTTTATTATAGGGAAGCAATTACAAGAAATTATTTTCTTAACGAAATGAATGGAGAGATGAAAATGATATTTTCCTACTGAATCTCATTGAACGATAAATCGGAACATGGAAATTATGAGTCTTTGGAAGCGGATTTACGGTAATTGCGGCCGAATCTAAGGGCTGAAAAGAAATGGAATTCATACAAACATAAATTTGCGTTGACGTGCGAATTTACTGAATTAGTACGCCCACGTAGAAAGCATTAAGCAGGGATCATTTGGTGGAATTATATTTAGGGGCCTTGTCTTAAAATTATTGATAACCGTTTATATTGTAACGAAACGGTTGAAAAACGTGATTTTTATGGATTTTGCAGTACTCGATGATCAGATAAAGCCTTATAGATATATTGAATATATTGAATACATCGAATTTTGTTTTCAAGTTCCAAATAAGATTACACGTTTAATAATGTAACCGTTTTTAGTTTGAATCTCTGCTTACCAATTATAACAAAAAAATAGGTTTTAATATTTATTACGGTACCATTTGGTTATATTTGTAAATTTTCAACAATAGATAAAATGTAGAAATAGATGATATTACGATTATTAAAAATAAATTTGATTTTTTACTTTTGGTTATGATTTATTGCGCAGAGTTCACTAGTTATTTTCGCCTGTAGTGAAAGAACCTTTGGAAATATATCTCTAATTTCTGAAAAAATATTCTGTAATATCAGTCTCTTCATTTGAGTTCTTCATAACGTTGCACTAAAGAAATTTTATGAAACCGTTACACTTTGACAAACCTGAATATATACGTATTTTCAGAAATTAAAAATGAAACGATTTTAACAGTACGTTCGTTCATATCCATCCAAAAAATCGTAGCTGGAACGCAGAAGTCGCGTGCTTATTTCAAAGCGCGCGTGATTTCATCATTAAAAACAATCAGAATTTTAATAAACGCATTATCATCTCATCTTTCGCCGTATTTGCTACCCCAGTGCCCTTGCGTATTAACAAAACCAGTTTTAAAACCAGACACTCCGTTTCTCCGGTCAGAACAAAGCCGTTGGCGAGGGACACCTCAGACCTTGCGCCACGAATATTAAAATGCAAATGGCTTAACACCTTTTTCGCTGCGTCTCGACAGGTATCCCGAGTAAACGGGAGAGAAGAGTTGTTTAACCAGTTAACTGCGTTTGACGTGTATACGCATTATCTGACCACTAAACGTACCTGCACTTTATGTAAACGTATTCCTATCCGAATTAGTCAAATAATTATATATAAAGTAAAGATAACAAGTTAGACGATACATTTTTCTAACTGCAAACAGGGACAGAATGAAAGACAAAAATGGAAAAACCGATAAATTGGACAATATAGGAATTGATGTAAAGTTAAATGAATGAAAGAAAACGTAGGATTTTAAATCAAATTTTAAAATCGAACATTTAACCGGTCGTGATACGCACGCGCGCGTGTTTAGTGTTAAATTTTGAATTAATATTAATTCTTCAACGATGAATTCTTTATTTTTTCAAATAAACATGTAGTTCTTCATTGTTTTTCTTTGGGTTTTCATTAAAATATGCCCCAGGTATATTCGTTCTGCATTTGATGGGTAGACACTTAATTTCTTCATTTTATTGAGCGCAAAACGAGAGATTTTTTAAGCTAACTTTCACAGTTAACAGGTTAAGGGGAAATCCGGGCTGAATATTAAGTCGCGAAGGAAAAACAGGAAGTATCCCCCATTTCTTCGTAGAACATTCGGCCGGCAATTAATATCTGGTCTCGCGCGATAAATCGGTAGCGGGAGGGAGAGTAATTGGCCGAGGAGGGATCAGTTCCGGAAGTTTTCTGATTTTCAGGACCGACGGCTGTTTCTAATGGCCAGCGAAACTTCGGGGATCGCGAGAACTCGCACACACGCGACGCCGATGGACACGTACTACGCGGGCCATCGGCGGAGGAAGAACGGGACGCCTGTACGGACGCGAACAAGATGGGAACACAAACGAGCGCGAGCGTTACGGAACGACTAACACCGAAAAGCTTCTTTCCTTGCGCGCGTGGCTCGGAGTTGTAGGCTAAAACTTTTATGATTTTGTTCGTGCCGGGTGCCCGGAAAGGGCTGAAGCGAAGGAAAGTAACACGGCCACGGAGGAGGAGGAGGTGGAGAACGCGCAGAATGGGAGAAGTCTTTCGCGGGCGCAGAAGACAAATGGCGGCGGGCGTCGGCGCGGGAACGAGGTCGTCGGCCATCCGACTACGGCGACTACGTCGGACCCGATTGCCCCGTGATTCCACTGGATCTCCAGGCAAATGCTTCACTGTGCCCGATCGATCCGTAATCTGTATCAGCCCGTGACGAATCGAGAGATTCATAAGAATCCGATCAACGACGCGGCAGGCGTCTCGATGATTTATCGTTTACGACCTTTCACGAGAGAGGGACGGCACGGGGAGCGAGACTTTTCTCCTCGTTCATTTTATGACTCCGCGGGGAGCTGGTTCGGGGGAATTGAATAGAGTTTCGGGTGACACCGGAAGGTAGATTTTTCGAGCGATTAATTGTTCGGGGTTGATGGTATTTCTGCGATGGACTGGTGTATACTGGAATTTCGTGAAACATATGTGGAAAGATTTTTAGTGTTTAATCTTTCTGTATGGATGTGATTTTATTTTTATGCTACCGTGGCGTGCTTCTCGCAAATCTCTATGTAAAATATTGTAATCTTGAGAGCAGTAAAATTTTTGTTGTATTGTTGATTCTGTTGTTATGTACTATTCGCTTTTCACATTACGGCTGTCGACCTGTGGCTTAAAAGTGCCCAGGGGCAAGCGAAGATGTCCACTCGCAGTGCTCGCCCCGATAGTTATGGCGGCTCAGTTTCGGAACGTCTTTGTTTTTGGCCGTCTGGTTTCTTCGTCCCGCTGCTTAGCCAGTAACAAAGACGCGCCAAAACTCAGCTGCCATAACTATGGGGCCGAGCGCCGCGAGTGGACGTCGCCCCTTGTTTTTGTTAACAGTTCATATTGCCAGCGGAGGCATTATTACTAATAACAAAATGAAAACACATATGCCTGACACCAGCTGACGACGAGCGAGGTCATGTCAACGCGATAGCGACCAATAACCTTGTGGTCCACGAAATCGTCTGAACGTGAAAGCATCCATCGAAGTGTTAAAATGCGACGACGTCTCAGAAAGATTTTTCGTGGTTGCATTCTGGAATCCATCGCGTTCGCACTTGAAAGGTGAAAGCAATCCGTCCACCCGACTAAAGTGTCCGCGCTGTTAAAGAACACGGCTTTCTGCTAACTGCACCGATTCTAGTACCGGCCGCATTGTTTCGCGTTATTATTCTCTTGATCCACTTTCCATGGAATATTACGCGCGGCTCGCGTAGAAACCTACTAAAAACGACTAACTCCGGATCTCTCATCCGGTTGTGTACCCGTTTCGACGCTCTTTTCCGTGTCGGCCATAAATTTCGTGCACCGCGCGAGAAATGTGCCAATACTGTGGGAAAAACGTCGGTGAGGAGGTAGAGGAGGAGGTTTTCGATTCCTTCTGTGAAATAGTAACGACACGGTGCTGAATAATTTCCC